ATCCTGGGAGACTGGCCGCTCACCGAAATCGGCCCAGCACCAAAACAAACGCAACCGTTGGCACCAGGCCGCCGAACGAAATCGGACCCACTACTTTTGCCTACTCCGCCAGGCTACAATACAACCCTTTCAATACATGCAAGCGCTGATGTGGGAACTACTCTCGAATTTCTCAGTCTCTACTTCATAAATACTCTTACGTTATGTCTGTATGTGTTTTATATGCTTACATGTCCCTACGGTGTCACCCTGTCTCGCTCTGTCTCTCTCTCTCTCTCTGAATTCGCTCTCTTGTTGTTTATTCGTGCTTGCTTGTGCTGTTTTGCTGTCTCTCCCTCTCTCTCTCCCTCTCTCTCTCTCTCTCTTTTTCTAGGTGTATCCATTCATTCATATCGCATCATTTACCACAGTGTTGGCCATGATCGTCGCTCGCATAGACCCTGTATGACGCGAACAAACAAAATGGACGGCGCCATTGACACATTCAGACGCGTAATATAATATATATATATATATATATATATACAAGACTGCAGTGGCGCTTTGCGCCATGCACCTTGGTCCTTGAAGTTTGGTATGCAGGCGGAATGGCAGGAAGGTCAAGCCGACAATTTAGCGATAACTCTTGGTTGCCTTTTCCGGCATCGCCGCTATAATAATGTTATTCGTTATCCTTCCTCCATGCTTATTGTTCCGCATTTTCGCCATACCCTTCGCATTCTCCCCATCCTCAGCTCTTTTTTGCGGAGGCTCCTCCTTGGAGAGCCTCTAGGGGCCTCACAGAAGTTGTTTCGAGCTTTCTTGAGGCCTTCTGGAGGCCTCCTGGGCGTATTCTGGGGGCCTCCGGGGGCCTCCTCGGGCCATCCTGCCTCCAACCGCCGTCTCCCTGAACGACCGAATCACGATTTGGAATTCGTCGGAAGGTGTCTTTGGGCCATCTTGGGCCGCCGTGGGGCTCTCTGAGGGTCATATTGGACCCGTGTTGTGCCGTTTTGGGGCTCTCTTGGACTGCCTGGAAGCCCTTCCGGATCGTTGTGGGGCGATTTGGGAGCCTCCCAGACGGCTTCGGACGCCCAGAAGACCGCCGTCTTGGAGGGTCGGGAAGCCGAAAAGAGAAGAACCCCAAAATTCACCAAAAACCAATGGAAAATCAATGATTTGTGCCTCGGGGGACCTTCTTGGGAGTGCTCTTGGAGGCCTCTTTGGGGCCGTCCTGGAAGCCTCTTGGGCCATCTTGAGGTCACGTCGGTCACTCTTGGAGCGCTCTTGTGCTGTCTTGGGGGTCTCTGGGACGTGTCCGATGACCCCCCTGATCGCCCTAAGTGTGCTGGGAAGGCTTGGCAAAACGCCTTGCGAGGCCCCGTGGCCGCTTCGAGGCCACTCTGGAGGGCCCCAAAGCCCCAGGTCCCAGGAGTCCGGTTTTGGGGGGGGGGGGGATGGGTTTTCCCCCCGCCTGGGCGTATAAAAATATAGGAAGAGGAATATATACATACATATGTATATATATATATATATATATATGTATATAGATGTGTGTATATGTATATATGTATATATATGTGTGAATACCAAATTCGCAACTGTGTTACCCTTCAACTATTCTATCTACGACCACACATGGACTCCACATTTTACTATGTCCTCTTGACCGTGGCCGCAAGAACCTGGGCACCTGGCTGCACCTTTAAAAAGTCGAAGACCCGGGAACCTTGCACCGCTGGGACTTCCAGACATGGAACAGAAGACCCGAGAAATTGGCCGCACCGCACATTGGCGGCGCGCGCAAGGGGGTGGAGGGAGGGGGCGGGCTTCTTTGAAGGAGGCTGTTTCTTGGAAGTCGCTGGCCTTACATCTATAGATAAGAGAGCGTGATCCACCGCCGCTTTACTGTGGAAAATTGCCCCCCCCGTCTTCCTCCATAGCCCAGCCCCCGCGCTCCCCTCCGAAAATCCCCCTGTCTGCACCGCTGTCCCACTGTCCCCGCACCTCTGTCCCCACCACCACCGTCCCCACCACTGTCCCAGTATCCCCACCATTGTCCAACTGTCTCAAGGATCGGGAATCGTTTGCCGGCGGCGAGGGGGGTTCGAACCGGTAGTGACCCCCCCCCCGGTTTCCGAGGGGGGGGTGGGGGGTTCGAACCAGTAGTGACCCCCCCCCCGTTCATGATGGACTGAGGGGGGGGGAGGGGTTCGAACCTGTAAAGACCACCTCTCGGTTTTCGAAGGGGGAGGGGACGGGCTTGGAACCCCCAATGACCCCCCCCGGTGTTCCGCCAGCAGCGGTAGAACAAGCTCTTTCATTGATTAGGCCCGCACCTTCGAAAAAGCAGGGGTGTTTCGAAGAAGCCCTCCGCCCTCCCCCCGCCCCCCTCTGCGCGTGGCTGACTCACCGAAACGGGCCAGAACCTGGAACAGGGAACTGGGGAACCAGGGACTGGCAACCCGGGAAACTGGCCGACTACCGAAATCGGCGCCGCACCTTCGCATACTATTTCAGGCTCCGCTAGGACCCCTGGAGTGCAAGTGCTGGATTGAATTAAGAAAAGGCCATGTCGTATGATGGCAAGGCCGACAGCAGAAAGACAGGTTGGACGTCCTTGGCAACGGAACAAGTATCTGCCAGTGCTGCAGTAGGGCTGGCACCTGGCAAACCATGCGTGCTCAGAAGAAACCACAAACACACACACACACACACACACACACACACACACACACACACACACTCGTGAGCAACGGAGCGACGAAAGGCCAGTAGTCAGGCAATTGCATCAAAATCGGCATCAACACCTTTCTTGGGCCGCTGCATCAGAGCACGAGCAGCTCGCGACCACATCATCCCGCCACCCCACCAACACACTTGAACCCGTATGCGCACACACACACACACACTACAAACACGCGAACAAAAACATTCCCAGGCACACGGCCTCGCACTTTTGGGAAACCAATGCCCTCCTGCACAAATCACTGTCCTGCCGACTAGACCCGCTGGACAACGGCCCGCCAGCCCTGGAGGAGGGGGACTGGAATAGGAGAGGAGCAGCAGGAAATGGAGGAGCGAGAAACGGAGGAGGGATGAGGTCTGCCCGAGAGTCCGAACAGGGTAGAAGCCAGTTTCTGATCCATCGTGGCTGCCTTCTTGCATGTTCGGTTTGGATGAGATTGTAAGATCTGCCAGAAAGAGTGCCAAGACGGGCCGGGACGCGCTCCAAGACGTCCCCACTTGCCCCCAACAGCGTCCCAAGCGCGCCACAACAGGATCCAGGAGGCGAGCTATCGCGCACCAAGCGGGGAGCCCAAATTGACGAAGCCCTCTTTTAGATCGATGGCCGCCAGAACGGTTCCTAGAGGGCCCCTGGGCTCCATGGCCGCAAACAAGACCTGAGTGCGCTTTAGCTCCCAAACGGGCCCCGAGACCTCCAAGAAGACTCCAAGAGAATCCTGGGGTCTCTCGGTCGAGCAACGCCGGTCGTTCTGTGCCATTCAACACTTGTCTACGACCCTTCTCCCGACGGCATGCTTTTGCTACGCCCTTTCAAACTTAGTCCGCCAGCCAGACCTGCCCGACTTCTTTAAATTTCCTGGGTTCTGCTGGTTTTGTTTAATTACTGTTTTTGAATGGCCCGTGTTCGTTGGCTTCCCGGGGTTACCCAGGTTGGTTGGTCTTCTTTCCCTTGTGTTTGTAGAGGCCTTCCCCTGCTTTCAATGCTAAGCAATGCCAAATAATGTCAAGCACCGCAAAACATGACCAGCAATCCCAATCAGTGCCAACAAGTTGCAAACAGTACCAACAGATGCCAAGCAGTGCTGAGCAACGCCAAGCAAAGCTGGGCAACGCCAAGCAATACCAAGCAATGCCAAGAGATGCAAAGCAAGCGATGTCAAACAATGCCATGCAACGCCTAGCAATGGCAAGCAACGTAAAGCAAAGCAAAGCCATGCAAACTCCACGTCAAAACACTGACAAGCAAACAACATAACGCCACACAATACCAAGCAGAGCCAGGCAATGCCAACAAATGGCCAAGAACCCAAATCAAATCAATGAAAGTCAATGTCGAACACGGGGAAACAACGTCAACCAATGCCAAGCAATGCCGAGGATAGCAAAGAATGTTTAAAGACCTGCCAAGCAAAGCAACGTGTTGCCAAGCACTGCCAAACGAAGCAAACCGATGCCACACAACGACAAATGATGTACCAACATGACACGCAATTCCAAGACATTCAAAACAATACCAAACAGTACCATGCAATGCAAAACCATGCCAGGCATTTCCAGACAATGCAAAGCAACTCAAAGAAATGAACCGTCCAACACAGGCGAAAAACATCGTCGGCTCCCACATTCAGAGCGACCGTGCTAAGCTCTCCGTATTTCAAAAGCTTCAAGGTGCTCTCTTGGACATCGAGCTTGAGTTTGCGAGCTAGCCTCGGCGCCAGCTGTCTCATGCGGGTCATCATGAGATTGGCCTTGACGAGCACCTTGATCGGCTCAGCGGCATAATGAAGGCCATCGTCCACCGACGAATCCCAACAGCCCTCTGGGCGGAGGTGGGTTCACGAGTTCGACTCTCCCCTCTTCCAAAATAAATCATCCCCGTGCTCGGGGGAGGGGTGTTATCAGTGCTCCTCAGTGCTCATCGGTCGGAAGAAGTAGGTAGACACATGAAGTAGGGAGGCGTTGGAAGTAGATTGGGCTTCCGCCCGCCCCCTGACGATGAGGGAACGGGGAAGCACGCTCGTTGATTGCAGTAGGAAGGCGCCTAAAATATTTTGGAATCTGGGAATCATAAAAAAAAAACTACTTTCAACGACCCAACACGGGGGGGGACTGCAGAGTGCAGTGCAGGGCAAAGTGCACTGCACGGCAAAATCTTGGGTCATGCTCGGGGGGGCCGCGAGCACATTGTAATGTGTTTTTTTGTTGGCGAGGACGGCAGGGGGGGGAGGGGGGGGGGCAGCATGTGGCCTGGTGTGTGCAGGGCCACCGTTACCTTTTCAGACGATACAGACTGCACTTCGCGGCTGCCTCTCTGGACCATGCGGCAGACACCCCGCGATCACTCCGCAGTTGTTGTTCGACAGGGACGGCGAGGGGTGCTGGCAAATTGACGGCTGTGCGCAGGCCCACCGGACATCGTGATGGCCACTCCGCTGTGATTGTGCATTGTTTGTTTTTTTAAATAATGCATACATACATACATACATACATACATACATACATACATACGTACGTACGTACGTACACCCTGCGAAATGCTTAAAAAAATCATGGGTTAAGAAATTCATAGTCTCAGAACTTGAATAAAAAACCCAACGTTTCCATTAAAACCTTAAGATTTACATTGAAATATTCAGAATAATCGAGACTATAGCCGAAAACTTCGGTTTTCTTAAGCATCGCCTAAGGTGTACGTACGTACGTACGTACAGACAGACAGACACACAGACAGACAGACAGACAGCGTGTCGCGGCGGCGGCCCCGGCAACACGTCGTGCGCGTGGATGCGCTGCGGGGCGGGAGGTCGGGAAAGGCTCGGGACGTCGACGCCTCGGGACAGGGGACAAGGAAGTGGACAGCGTGCCGCGCCGAAGCGTGATGGGCCAAAGCCAGCGGTGCGACACGTTTCCCCAAAGTTCCAGAATCGTGTGTAATGTGTATACAAGTAACTTAGAAGGCAACTACTGGGAGGTTTTCGCTGGAAAAATTAGGGATGATTAAGCCCCATTTGGGAGCTATTACGCCAGAGTGGGCCTCGGATTAAGCAGGATTGAGCCGGATTAAACGGGATTAAGCCGGATAAAACGGGATTAAGCGGGATTAAGCCAGATTAAGCCGGATTTCGGACCAGGGCAAAATCAGAATTTGACCTCCCAGGAGTTGCATCCGAAAGTAACAGAGGACCCAAAGGCACCAAGAGTCCCCGCGAAGAGACACCCAAGACAGCCAAGACAGACCAAGGACATCCCAAGATGGCCCAAGTGTCCACAAGAGGTCACAGCAGGCCCCCAAGACGGCGCAAGAGGAGGCACCCGAGAGACAACAATCATGTTTTTTTCGTAACATGTTCGGTACGATTGTCGCATTCTCGCCTTTTCGCTCCAAGGCGGCCCAAGGGGCATTCAAGATCGCACCCAAATGAGCCGAAATGCGCTCAGGAGGGCCCCGCGAGGTTCCCAAGGTGGCCCCAAGAGGGCCACAAGATGACTCCCTAAAGAGCCCAACAACAGCCCCGAGAGACCCCCAAGGCCGCCAAGGGAGGACCAAAACGGCCCCAAGACGGCCCCCAAGAAGGCCTCAACAACGGCTTCAAGAGACTCCTAGGTGGGGCCCACTGGCAACCCTGGATTAGCACGGCGTTAGCGAGACTATACATACAGGTTCCTCTATTCGTTGTAATATTGTTCCATTGGGGGTTTCCCCTCTCGGTCCGCCCGGATCTCCTCTTCCCTCCGCATCCCTCCGACGAGTCGTCGTCCCCACCCTCCCTGTATCGTCCCCCTCCCTGCTCCTCTTTCCCCTTCACCCGATCTCCCCCCCCATCCCCACCGCTCCCCCTCCCTCCGAATCCCATCCTGGGCATGAACCTCGTTCTTGCACCCTCCTGCTCCTCATTCCCATCCTTCTTCTCCTCCTCCTCTCCATCCTGAATCTGGGCCCGCTCATGCCCCTCCCCCCGCCAGCCAAAGCAACCTCTCCTTTTGCTGGCATGCTCCTGCCTCCCTGAATGCAGACAGTACTCAGCATGTGTTCCGGCCAGGGACGCTCTTCAGGATGCATGTCATGTCTCACCTCCCGATCTGAGCGTGCCAGCCCGTGCAGCAGACGGCGGACGGACATCGGGACGCGGCAAAGAAAGAAGGGCAGAGAGGGAAGGGGAGAGGCGGAGAAGGATCCCAAGATTGGGAAAGGGATTCGAGGAGAGCCTCGGGAGCGGAGAGGGCGGGCAGACGGGACCGGCCAGGGAGCGCATGCCAGGAACGGGGACGCGAACGCTCTTGCCGGTGCTGGGTGAGCTGAGCAGATGGGGGAGGACGGAAGAGGGGGGGGGCGGGCCACCGCCCCGCTGCCCGGCGGAGAGGGGAATAACACTGGTGCACCAAAGGGAGGGAGGCACCGTGGGACGCTGAAGGACATCCGAAGACGATGTGCGGAAACCGGATGCGCATTCCCGACGCAATTCCCGATACGAACAAATAGTAACAAAATATCAGAGCATAACGTGGCCCGAGCGGTATGGCCAGAAAGCCCCCGCCACGGGGCTTGCACCAACAGATTTCGGAGCGCGCGCGTCGCCGTTGCGGGGCTGACGTACACAGAGTATGAGTAGGTGTGGGTGGTGCCGAGGGCATGATCAGTCAGCAGCGGATTGAATGGGATCGACCTCGTCAAGCTGCACGGGCAACATCGGATCCGTAGAAACGTCGGATCCGACGTCGGATACGGCCAGCCGAGACCGATATCGAACCTGACAGTTGCAGGTGGGCACTGGAGAGGAACCGGGGAAAGGGTCGGTGTTAAGACTGGGAGGGGGGAGAGGACACATGGGAAAGGGAGGGGGGTGGCATCGTAAAAGTGGGCCACTCCGACGCCGACCTGAGAGGGGTGCACCCAGAGGTGGGGCAGACCGCGGAGCAGGGGCGAAACGAGGAGGGTCTCCATGAGGCCATGAGGAGAAGGAGGGAAAAACCTCCAGATCTCCCCCCAAGAGCAGTGAGTGCGGCCGGTGGCGGCTTCAGCTCCTCCTCCTCCTCCGCCTCCTCCTCCTCCTCTGCCTCCCCAGTCGAGGCGCCCTAACCCTCGCCAGCAGAGCTCAGCACCCAGACCCCGGACGTCGAGATTCTTTCAGTTTCCTCCAGAGCTGTGTTTGTTGGCAGCCCCGAGGCCTGGCAAGGGCCCACTGGAAGCAGAACAATACCGCGCTAACGGCGATGTTGGTTCACGGCGATGTTGGGAATCTGATTTTTGTGACACCGAGCTCGCGCAGAACAAATCGTGGGAAATCACGAATCAGACGTTCCTACATCTCAAACGTGAAAATGTATCGAGCGAAAACGACGCAGCGAACTGCAGGAAAACACGAACCACGATGTCCTACACTTGGCTTGGCCATGACCGAGTCCCACCTACAATGCCAGCCCTACATCGCCGTTACGTACCTACATTGCCGTTGGCGCGTCTACGGGCAGAGCCAAGCGAACATCTCCTGAGCCGCGTTGTTTTGCCGATGCCGGGGGGGGGGGGCATGGACAGGCCGAGTGGCCCGAGGCCCTCGACCGCCCGCCCGCCCTCCCTGGGCGAGGCCGCCCCCTCTGCGGGCAGGATCTCTATCCATACCCCTAGGTCGGGCATGTTCTCCTAAATGCGGATTTGGACAGAACATTTGGAAATAGTCAAGCATATTCAACCAGAGTCAAACAATAACAGAACCACCGAACCCAAACTGTTCTTTGATTCTGGGGGCATGCCCGACTGAACCATACCCACTGCGTCTTGGAGTTTCTGGGAAGGGGCGCCGGAAGGCCGAGGCGCAGTGAACATCGACAAACATCGGGGCCCTCTAGGGGCACGAGCTCCATCGCCACCCACGGCGCCTCTCTGGCGTCTTGGGGGAGGGAGCCCGACACAGAGCCTGCCCGCACCTCTCCCCCCGTGGTCGGGCGACGAGCTCTGCACCTGTCCCCTGCCCCCTGGCGGAGCCCTCCCTGGGCCCAGGAGCTGTGTGTGTGTGTGCGTGTGTACGACCCCCCTGGCCAGGCCAGGAGGGCGTGGCGTACACTCCGCTGCTGGGTGCAGGCTGGGCCTGGCCGGGGAGCAGTGGAGACGTGTATACGTAGACTTCGTCCCCCCCGTGAGGACCAGCGGGGTCTTCAGCTCGGACTTCAGCAGCGCGAGCTCGACGCCGAAGTCCCTCGAGCCGTCCACGGCGCGCTTCAGCAGAGCCAGCTCGCGCCTCTCACGGCGGGCCGCCCGCGGCCGGCTTCGCCCCCGGTCCGCCCCGCCCGCGGTCGGCTTCGCCCGGTCGGTTTCGCCCGCGGCCGGCTTCGCGGTCGTCGGTCGCCGGTCGCCCCCCTACGGCGAAGGCACGATATGAGGCCAAAGCAGCACCGAGACGCTCGGGGAATCTCTGAGAGCTGGCGGGCCTGGGGGATGCATCGGCCACCGATGCCGTTCTACAGCGTTCCAGAAGAGCTCTCCAGAGCGCTCTGGAGCGACTTGTCTTCATCATGGGCCTGCCGGGCTCCTTTCTGGAAGCCTCCCCACTGGGTAGGAGGGATCGAATGGGTCGGATGATCGTGCTGGAGCGATCTATCCTCATCCTACGCCTGCATAGTCCCTTCTGGGGGCCTCCCAAAAGAGGGAGGAGCAGACTGGGACGGAGGATCGAGACGCATCGCCGCTGCATCCGCGCCGCTGCTGTACCCGCCGCCGCCGTCGTCCACCGCCTCGGACGAGAGCGCCAGGGGGCGTGCCCATGGTATCTTACTACGCTCAGCCGCGAACGCCGCGATTCGAGGAAGGGTTTCCTCCACCTCGAGGTGGCTCAGGGCGAGGATCAGAGCCTGTTGATGTTTGGGCAAGTTCGGTGCCTCTGGAGGCATCTGAACGCCAAAACTAAGGTCTCGCGCGAGAAAACATAGCGACCTTACGCCGCGGCTTCGGCGGGCCGCCAGTGTGGCACACCGCGTCGAGGGGAGGGCGCTTACGCGCGACCTTGCGCGGGCAACTTACGCGCGAACGTCCGCGCGGTTGGACTGTGTTCTTCCGTCGCTCATCTAGGGACCCCCAGAAACCATCGGGGACCTACAAAGACTTCCTATTATGCACGCTCCTCCCCCTCTCCCTCCCCCTCCACCTCGTGCACGTCTCACTTACCATTGTCCAAGTCCTGGCCCTCCCCTTCTACATCCGCCTGCCCCTTCCATTTTCCCTCTTCCACCCCCTCCCGCTTCTCATCCTCCCCGTGCCGACGGGGTCAGAAGGAGGAGACGAGATAGAGAGTTGCAGCTATATACCGAGATGCTTGAAAAGGCCCAGGAGAAATTGTTGGCGAGGAGATCGCAAGATGGCCGCTCAGAGTGGGGGCACATGGGGTGATGGCAGCGCAGCAGCAGGATCGGCTGGCCAAGCTCGTTCGGCACGGAGTTCAAAGGACGGTCGCTCGGACGGTCGCTTGCAGAACGGATGAGGACAGTAGTAGCGGTTGCGTTGCACCCTGTGGTACGACGAGTGTGGACTCAGTGACCCTCGACCTCGAGAGCAAAACAAACAGAGAAGACAGTCACTACAGTCAAGCCACATGATAAGGATGCGCGGTAAGGATGCGTTGGCCTTGGAGGGCCATGCTGGCGTTCTTCGACCGGGGCTGGCCAGCGAAATTCGCCACGGATGGGCCGAAGGAGCCCTCGACCATTGCTCATCCTTACTGTGCGGTTTGACTGCACGAGCTCACGCCATGGTGAAGGAGTCGGAGTAGACAACACTACCTAGACGTTCAGGGAAGGGTATAGGGATAGCCAGGCACAAGCAGGTGGGCAGCAGAGCTTCACTGTCACGGCGTTGAGTGCTCCATCCTCGTTGCACGGTTCTCGGGAGGGGTGTACGCCGCGGCCTGCTGTCTCCTTTGGTCTCCTCTTCACGTGACGTGCTCGGCCGAGCGACGGAGTATCGCTCCGCCGATGCCTCGGCGGCCAGACTACACGCCTCACCGCTCCTGGCAGGCAGGCCCTCCGGCACAATCGGAGGGTCCTCCAATAATTACGCAGACTGCCGTGCGGTAATCAGGAGGGCCTTGCCCTCCTTTCTTGTCTTTCGCACGGGCCAACACCATAGCGCGCCCCGACTGGACTGATACAGCCACGAGCGAGGAAAGGGGGAGGGGAGGGAGGGGCACAAGAAGGCAAGAGAGGAAAAGCGCAGGGAACACCGAGAGGCCAACTCACGGGTCGCAGATCGGGAGAGCCTGGAGCATCTGCGACGGCAGGGCTAAACCATATTCAGCGAACACTTACAAGCATTCATGAATTCCACCCTAACAGCTGGATCGTGCTGATATCTGATTCCAATACCTGTCGACCTCGAGGGAAATACTCGTCCAGTATATCACCCGCCTGGTTGACAACAAACGCATCTTCGAACAAACCAGTGGCACGCAGCGTGGACAACATATGTGGTCTCATCACAGACACGTCTATCCATCGTCCAGAATTGAAGCAAGTACGACAAACAAAATCTGCCCCGAATAAGCCGTGATCGCTGGCTTTGTACATGCATGTGCAATGATGCAGGTCGGTGTTCCCGAAGTCGTCCACACCTCCCCTGGTGCATCCAGAGCTGTCGCAACAGACGATGGAATCCTGGTCTCCAGTGCGCCAGCACGTACCACAGAAACGGATGCCCCCTACGAAATTCAACTCCGTCCTCCCATGCGCATCAACATGCCAAAAGCCTGGGTCAACACAATCGCACTTTGCCAAGACCCGGCGACAACCAAGGCACTTCACGTCCCAACACTGACACTCCATCTCCTAGCATACCAAGCACTAGTCCACTCCACGAAATTTCGAATGCAACTTCGCCCCAAATGTCTCCAGAACCGATTTGAAATTAGTCGCGAATCCAGAAGTATAGCGCAACGCAGCCTCGCGCCTGTCAGATAACAGCGCGGATACTGCTCCGACCACGTGCGCATCCTCTCCATCACCGCAGCTCGTGCAAGTGTCCGTGGCCCTGCCTTCGGCAAAGAAAGTTGCGGCATCTGGATTGAATTCGAACGTAGGTGGGGCCGCATCAGCGATTGGCCATGGTATTCCGGGATCAAATCCACAATGGCCGGCAACGTTAAGCCCCAAGGAACCGATGCCGCCGCACCCAGCCTCTAAGTTGCCGAGCCTCGCACGGATGTCCTCCAACGAGTCCAGCACTCGCTGTTGGAAGCAACAACCTTTGTCAGGAGCTTCTCCATGCAAGCACTCGACCGTGCCCGCCCTGGCTGAGGAAGTTGTCCTGCTAGCTGCATTCTTCGACGTCTTTTCTGAGGACGGCTCAATTTTGTTGGAGAGTGGGGTTCCGCTGAGACCTTTCACGATCACCAACCGTACACTCGCGATGCCGCGCAATCGCAGGAGAAGCAATGGCGGCAACATCGGGTGGGACACGTGGTTGGAACATGGTTTGACCGTTCTTGAGCCTTCCGTTCATGAGCCAGCGGCTTGAGCCAATCTTGAGTCAAAATGGCTACGGGTGAAATGTGTACCCCCCGATCGCCCTTGACTTACCTCACCTCGTCCTCAACCTCCGGACCCTCCTCAAGCTCCTTGCTACCTCCCTCCTGATCCTCCTCCTCCTCCTCCTCATCCTCCTTTTCCTCCTGCCGCCTTTCTTCATCCACCTCCTCAGCCTCCTGGGCCTCGTCCCCCTCTCTGAGTCTTCCAGCCTCCTCAGCAGTCTTCCCTGTCCTTACCCAAAGCCTTGCTCGTGCTCGTCTTGTCCG